ACACACACACACACACACACACACACACACACACACACACCGACAAACCAGGAGACGCATTTAGCGAATTATATATAGTAGGATGTTTTTAGAAATTTGATATCCATTGACTGATCAATAACATGTTCTTGAAATGAGCTCATCACAATCCAAGACAGGTAAAATAGCACCTCAACAAAACTCCCGCAAAAAACGCTAGCTCATACTAAAGTTTACCGTTCCTGCGGTGTCGAGAATCTCCAACATACATTGCTGACCGTCAACTTCCACTTGCTGTAAAAAAGTCCGATCATAACAACACCAGGAAAGCTTCATTTTCATTAAGCAAAGAAAACAGACTTTCCTGTAGCTGTCTTCGATGGTAGGGTCGTATTTTTCCACAAAAATACCTTGCACGAATTGAACAGTCTGGAAAAGAGAAACCATTGAGAATAAAGTAGAGGATTTTCGAGCATCAAAATCTTAAAAGGAACACTTTCCCTACCTTGAAGCCATGGTAATAAATGGCTTAAAATTTTACGTTAGAAGCTGATTGCGAGTACACTCTGAACTTCATAGTTTGGAAATTCAGCCATGCCCCTGCATTTAGTGTTGCGAAAGGCTGAGAAGGGTACTAAATACGTGAGCAAGTCTCTTCCAAGGAACCACCTGAGAGATTTCTATTTCTAGAGAAACCGGTTTCATTTTGCAGTCGAATAAGAAAACTATGAATGAAATCAAATTCAAATTTCTAGTGTTGACTCGTACTCGAATTTCTAGTCTAACCAGGGAAGGATCCCAACTCGAAGTGGCCATTTGAAGTAAATAATAATTTATCACGTTTTATGACCTTTTAATGCTTTGCTAATACCTTCTCATACCTAACTATCTGTTACCGAGTGGGAAATTGCGCAAAATTTGGACGTCCGGGCGAGTAAAACACATATGATAAGCAATGGTGTTGTTAGAGTGGGTGTTGATGCTAGATTAGGTGCGATGGTGCGTAGCAGACCCGGACTCACCCTACACCGGCATTGTTGATAGTGAACTCGTGGACATCATTTAAAGCCCAGAAAGCTATTCGGTGCGTCTTACCTTCACAAAAGCATGTGTGGGGAATGACACCCTGCTTGAGGCTACCGCGAGGCTAATACAGCCGATAGAAGCACATTTCTTATTTCCTTTTAGAAATATGGTTAAGTGCACCACCTCATATGTAATAGCTCATGATCTCAACTTTTACGTGTACACACGAGACCCCATTCTTCGCTTACTATCGCCTGTCTATTTTCAGTTCTGGGCGGTGAGATTTAGAAAATTCTCTTTTATTCATGGTATGCCGCCGGCTACTTGAGCACTCACCCGGTGATTTTGGGACGTCTACTCAATACTGTTTTCCTTCCGATTTGGGGTTAGTGAGTGTAAACCAATGGACTGTGACGAGTTCCTTTTCATCCGTTTCTCCCATTGTGAAAAGTTTCTTTGTTTCTAGCATTTCGTGCTAGAGCATCACATTCGTTCATAAAGTGACAAAAGTTACCCTACTGTGAATCCTGCTGCGAATATAGAGTGCATGGGCATGCGAGTAAAACTGAAGTAATACTTTAAGTGGATAAATATCGGCAAAAGCCTTAAAAGGTCATAAAACGTGATAAAATCACAATGAGTGTATTTCCTAGTCCTGTAGGGAAAAATTCTACATAATGCAAAAACTCGGTTCCACACAAAACCCGAACCCTAGCCTCTCGCCCATGAAGCGTCACACTTACCACTACACCAAGCGGCCGTTGAGGAGAGAGCTGCTTCCATGTGATTTGAGTTTTCTCATGTAATGTCACCTAAAACCACCCACATAACTCCGTTCAGAGAAACGCTTGGCAGATTTGGAAAGCGGATTTGAACTCAGCGCCCAAAAACACGTCTAGCAGTATAGGTCTTATTTCAAATGGCCACTTCGAGTTGGGATCCTTCCCTGGTAAGCTGCACTAAATTGAGAAATACTCGTACTGACAAGTAGCCGATTAGAATTGTCTGTAAATACTTGAAGTACAACGTTCTTAAAGGAAAAATTACGCTGAAAAACTGGTCACCTTCGAGGTCGTGCATATAGCACTTATTACTTTTCAAATCATTTTTATTGAGCAACTACGAGCAGCAAGTAAAAATAAGATAAAAAAATGAAAATAAAGGTGAACAAATTCTCGAATGACACCCACTAATGCTGATTTTCCAACGCCTCCGCTGCCCAACACTACGATCTTGTACTCGCGCATGACTTCTGAAAAAATTCAAGAACGAGCCGCTCATAATTAAGAGCAGATAGCAGGAGAATCGGGAAACGCAATTAAAGTTAGAGTTCGAGGAATATGTTCCAAACTGCGATGAACTGCGGTTCGACATAAGCATATCAAAAAGTTCAAAAAAAAATTTGAAAGAAGAACCCACATCGAAAAAGAAAAGCTTAACATTAGGACTAATTACCTCCAACTAATGAACCCCGGAGTATCTGTGTGGTAGATGTCGTTTTTCGTTTCGTGATCAATGAGCTTTCATAAATTATACTCACTTTCAGGTAGGTTACTTCTTCAAGGACCCGAAAAATCATTTCTGAATAAAAAGCCAACGAAAGCAACAGAAAATTGAGGTGAGAGCAATGACAGTATTCATACTACCAATCGCTTTGAAGATTTGACAAATTTTTGCTTATAGTGTGCCAAAGCTCACTTTATCTGTATTTTACGGGTCTGACATTTTCTGCTTGCCGCACGCGTTCGTGCGCTATGAAGGGAGATTTGAATTCCCAATGGAAGGATACGGAAAGTAGCCGCGGAACCACTGCCGCAGGATGCGAGAATTCGGGGAGAAGTTCCGTTACCCGTACTTTACCATAAGCAGTTTCAGTGGCTGCTTTCAGACTTCGACGATTCTTCCTGCGTGCGCATTTAGAAACGTGTGATTCTACATGAGTGAGCAAGCGAGCGGCTATGCGACGCGGTGTTAGACAGGTATTCTCTAGTCGATTCTACCTGCGTCCGTGCAGGCACGCACGCAGGTAGAATCGTCGAGAAGTCTAAAGGCAGCCAGCCGAGGCTATCAAAACCCATTCCTGCCTATCGACTAATCGAATTTTTCAAGAACAACTCTAAAATGTAATTTTGCGTTGCCTACTTNTCTTTCAGAACTTGAAGGGAAAGTAGTAACCTGAGGGACACTTTTATTCAAAAAATGACCTATTTCGAATTTTCTTCTTAGATCCATATGTGAGGGAATAATAGAAGAGACCGCCGAGACCGCTTGAACAGGTCTAAAACTAGGAACTAACAGGAACTGTTTGCTCTTAAAGAAGATCGGTAAGAGGCCTCTCTACGGTGAAAGCAATGCTTCAATAAAAGTATCGTGCTGAAGGGCGAAACGAAATCGGCTTCTAATATGGAATATAGGATGAAATAGATAAAAAAAGTGTGATTTCATCTTACGCATCTTCATCGAATATTACGCTATAACTGGCTCACCGGAGTTGGACGAACTCATATGCCAAATAAGTTGAACATAAGAGCCATGCACACGACCAATTCCACTTGGGAGTGAAGATGTCTTAAAAGCAGTACAGAGCAAACTCTTATTCGAGCGATCAAGAACTACTCGTCTTTTCCGCTTTTCGTTATCGTTCTACACTTCAAAAATGCCTGTTTTGAGGAGGCGCTATCCGTGGGTCATTTACAAAGCCTTTTTCACTGTCTTTTTCACTACTATCTCTATATTCTTGAATGCTCCCCACGCAGCGCGTTTCCTTCCGTTCAGCTCCGGAGCTAAGTCGTTCATTATGTTGACTTCCCGTCCTAGATACGCGTAGCTGAAGCATTCAGAAATATTCGTTACGCTCAGCGTGAAAGTAGCACCAGGAACCAATCCGTTTCTCGTCTTCGCTAAGTCCATTTTTAATCCGATCTTTCCACAAGCGTTGTTGAATCCGGCCAGCATTTGTTAAACCTGTTCAATGTTCGGTACAAGCACGATGTCATCTGCAAAGCGAAGATGATGTAAGTAGCAGCCGTCAACCTTCACTCCAATGCTTTCCCATTCTATATGACGCATGATATTCTCGAGGGCGGCAGTGAGAATTTTGGGCTAGCTGATCGCCCTGTCGAACCCCCCTCTCCACGTTGATGGAAACTTTTTTATAGAATAGCGAGCCCCTGGTCGTAAAGTTGTTGTAGAGCTCACGAAGCATCCTTATATATTGAGTAGGAGCACCCTGGTTTCTGGCTTTCTTCAAATCGATGAACGTAAGACATAACGGCATTTTGTACTCTCGCGTTATCTCACTGAGTTTTTCAACAGCGTGCGTGATTGGTTGTACTGAACCATCTCCGAAACTTGCTCGCTCGCATGGCTATCCTCCATCTAATATGCTACCTATCATGTTAGAGTTGACTCCTGAAAAGTTTATGGATTACAGACAGCAGGCAAATTGGGCGATCATTGCCAATATCGTCTGGATCTCCCTTTTTGAACAGCAACACAGCCTTGCTAGTTTTTCACGTCGTGGGGACTTTGCATGCCGAAGGTACCGCGTGAAGAGCCTAGCCAGAGTTTTGACGATAACTGGTGGAGGACTCTTCAGATGTTCTGCTTTGATCCTGTCGGGACCGGGCGCCGTGCAGTTCTTTATCGACATGATGGCATGTCGTTTTTCTGAAGGAAGAACCGAAGGACCGATACATCCGTCTTGCCTAGGATGGTGGATAGGCAGGTAGACGTGGCTGTCGAAGAGTTCCGAGTAGAAGTGATCTCCTCTATTGCCCTTCGAGATGCAGTAACTGTTCCATCAGCACGACGAAGGGAAGTCATCTTGGTATTACAATTGGCGAAGCTCCGTCGCGCTTTACGAATGCTCTTTGCGGCCAAGGCGACTTCGGACAGAACTGTTGCTCTTCTCTCTTCAGATCTTCCTTTATCGCTTCTCTACATTGCTTCGCAAGTTCGGACCTTCGCTGATGATTGCCTGTAGCTCGCGCAATTCCACGGTGGCGTATTAGCTCGAGAGTTTTCGAAGAGGGTCGTATCTTGGTTACTTGCAGACTGTCTGCTTTCCCAGCACTATCTGGAAATTGTGCGACCAACCGGTCTTATCCTTTACTGATGTTGTCGCTAACGGAATCTTCCCAAAAACTCATAGTGAAGCGAAGTGATTATCTCATATCAGTAAAGAACTCGAAATTTTTAGGCGCCTTAATTGCTGCTGCTCCTCCGTGAATTGTGAGACACCCACTTGTCAAAGTCAAGTTTTTTTCAACATGTCAACTGCTTGAGGTGGTCAACGACGACTGCATGTGAAACGCTCACATACTTGATGATCTCTATCAAAAGCTGACGTCGATCCTCTTCGACTGATTTTAGTGAAGCATCGTGATCAACTAATGATGGTCGACCAACTCGCTCTTGGC